CACTTTCGAGGCCTGCTGGGGGGCCCAGCACAGTGGGTACCCACGGCGGATTCAAATGGGACCTCGCCATCCCTGGGGGCCTGCGATCTGTGAAATGTCGCCACTTTCGAGGGCTGCTGATGGGCACAGCACAGTGGGTACTCACCGCGAACTCAAATTGGACCTCGCCATCCCTGGGGGGCTGCGATCTGTGAAACTGCCGCCACTTTCGAGGCCTGCTGGGGCGCCCAGCACAGTGGGTACTCACCGCAGACTCAAATGGGACCTCGCCATCCCTGGGGGGCTGCGATCTGTGAAACTGTCGCCACTTTCGAGGCCTGCTGGGGGGCCCAGCACAGTGGGTACCCACACGCTGATTCAAATGGGACCTCGCCATCCCTGGGGGGGCTGCGATCTGTGAAAGTGTCGCCACTTTCGAGGCCTGCTGGGGGGCCCAGCACAGTGACGCCACACGCAGATTCAAGTTAGACCTCGCCATCCCTGGGGGGGCTGCGATCTGTGAAACTGTCGCCACTTTCGAGGCCTGCTTGCGAGGCCCAACACAGTGACGCCTCCCCAGTAGCTTACACATCAAGTTGATTGTCCATACAAGTTTCGGCCACCTCCTCGCTTCCATTGATACACATGGGTTGGGTACGTCACAAGGTATTTGTTCGTCGGGAATCCCCCTGTAGTAGGGGAACACGCCCGACTTAAAGCGAGATGCTGAGCACCAGCTTCAGAAAGGTCGTGGGGAGAATCTGAGGTCGTGCTTCAGGCGGACGGACTCCGAAGCGGTCGACGGAGTGGCGCATGGAGCAGCGCGTGGAATTTCTCTACGAGTGCTTTTGTTGGCGCGCATCAGGCGCGACCCCTCCTCGACGTGTTCGAGGACGCCCTTTGCGCGCAGCTCTGGCAGGGGGCAGCGGGTCTTTGCTGTGGAGGCGGCCTGGGGCAAGGCGCAGATCAGTGGAGCTATCGGTCTTTCACCTCGCCTGTTCTACAAGCGCGGAGAGGAAGGCAGTGGTCGGCGTTGACGGTCACAATCGCCATTGGGGGCCACTGGGCGCAGCAGCGGAAGCACGCGGCCAAGTTGTCCCCGTCAGACATGCGTGAACGATGCGGCGCACGGCTTGGTATTCCCCTTTCGTCGCACCTGGCTGTGCAGAAGAAGTTATGCCTCGCCAGCGTCCGTTCGAACTGATGAGTTAGTTGCTGAGGCTATCGCCGAGCAAGACGCGCTCCCGTGCTTCTGGATGAGAGGCGTGATCCCGAGAGATTGGGTTCGAGTCCTTCCGCCTGCTTGCGAAGGAGTTTTTTTCGCGCGGGATCCTGACTCAGGGTCGCCTCGGTCCTGGGCGTCTAGGCCAGGGGCCCCAGGGCTGCCCGCTGTTTGTTTTTTGGGGCCCTTCTAGCGGGAAGGACACCCGCGATTGTCGGCTCCGTGGGGTCGGAAACGCGGTGGCGGTTTTCCAGGTTTTTTTGCGTGCTTGGCCCCCACTTGTTCGGGCCTCTCTTTGGGCCTTCCCAAGCGGCGCCCCAGGGGGGGAGTCGCAAGCTTGCGAATGGACCATTCGGTTTTCGCATGGACCTGTCGTGTCCATCGCAGACTGCGCCGAGGTTGCCAGGGGGAGGTGCGCGGGGGCCCCTCGCAGCCCAGAAGATCTCCAGGCTGAGATTTGCGGCGAAACATCGGTTCCACGTTGTCAGAGCAAGGCCGCAACGAAGGCGACGTGGCCGTTCTGCAGATCCCATCCAATCTCTCGGCGCCAGAGGTCGCTCAGCAGGGGTGGGAAAGTTGGCTCATTCAGGGAAGCGCGCGCGTCGGTGCTCTGGCGGGGGCAGCGGCCGTGAAAGCCAGAGCCCCCGAGCCCGACCGTTCCTGAGTCCACCGGGTCGAGCGCAAGGCCAGGCTTGTTAGGAGAAGAGTTCTTAGGGTAGGATTGGAAGCCATCCAGGCCGCCCAGGGCCTCAAAGCTCGGAGTGGGGGTCCTGAGGCCCCGCCTGGTCCTCCTGCTCCTCGGCGGGCTCCCCCCCTCCAGCCCTGGCACGCTCTGCGTCTGCCCACGCCCTGGCCGAAAGCGGAAGAGCCTGTTCGGTGTGGACGTCGGCTCGCCCTCGAAGGAGAGGGCGTCTGCGTGGACAGAGTGCTTGCGTTCCCCCTCGCCCTGTGGCTGCCGATCTGTGCCGGGCCCCGTTATAGGACGGAGTTCACACTCCGCAGGTGGATGTGTGCGCATGCTGCACACGCCCTTCGGTGGCACCAAGACCGTGGAGTTTGTTTGTGTGGGTCGTGTGGACTTTGTCGGTCAGTCCCAGCTCAGGGTCTTATGCCATCCATGCCGCCCCCACTTAATCACCAACTGCGGAGCTCGGCCTGTTATCGCTACGTGATGGCGGGAATCTTGGCAATCCTACTCCTCCTCCTCCCCCTCCTCTTCCTCCTCCTCCTCCTCCTCCTCCTCCTCCTCCACAGTTGCTCAATCTGAATGCTACTCTCCCTCTTCCCCAGATGACGTCTTGGAGGAGCGCCCCCCCACCCCCCCCCTCCGCCCCCGCGTATTTTACCTAACAGCTTTTGCTGATAGGTTTCTAGTGGTGTCAAAAGAGAGCAGCAGATGACTCCACAGGGGGGTCGGGGCGGACCCGGGGAGCTGTGTCCGAACTCGTGTCCGAATGCGTTTTCGCAAACAGTCACACACTTCGTGCTCTTCGACCTCCCAGAACTCCATTCCCGGGCCACATTCTGAATGCCCGGAGCCAACTGTAGGCCACTTCGTGCTCTTCGACTTCCCAGAACTCCATTCCCGGGCCACATTTTGAATGCCCGGAGCCAACTGTAGGCCACTTCGTGGTCTTCGAGTCCCAGAACTCCGTTCCCGGGCCACATTTTGAATGCCCGGAGCCAACTGTAGGCCACTTCGTGCTCTTCGAGTTCCCAGAACTCCATTCCCGGGCCACATTTTGAATGCCCGGAGCCAACTGTAGGCCACTTCGTGCTCTTCGAGTTCCCAGAACTCCATTCCCGGGCACATTTTGAATGCCCGGAGCCAACTGTAGGCCACTTCGTGCTCTTCGAGTTCCCAGAACTCCATTCCCGGGCCACATTTTGAATGCCCGGAGCCAACTGTAGGCCACTTCGTGCTCTTCGAGTTCCCAGAACTCCATTCCCGGGCCGCATTTTGATGCTGATGCAGAGGCTGAGAATTGTGATGCTGATGCTGAGGCTGAGGCTGAGGCAGGCAGGCTGAGGCTGATGAGGCTGAGGCAGGCTGAGGCTGAGGCCGAGGCTGAAGGCAGGCTGAGGCAGACGCTGAGGCAGGCTGAGGCTGAGGCAGGCTGAGGCTGAGGCTGAGGCTGACGGCTGAGGCAGGCTGAGGCTGAGGCTGAGGCTGAAGGCAGACTGAGGCTGAGGCAGACGCTGAGGCAGACGCTGAGGCAGGCTGATGCTGAGGCAGGCTGAGGCTGAGGCTGAGGCGGATGCAGGCTGATGCTGAGGCAGGCTGAGGCACAGAGGCTGAGGCTGAAGGCAGACTGAGGCTGAGGCTGAAGCAGGCTGAGGCTGAGGCAGGCTGAGGCTGAGACTGAGGCAGGCTGATGCTGAGGCAGGCTGAGGCTGAGGCTGAGGCAGGCTGAGGCTGAGGCAGGCTGAGGCTGAGGCTGAGGGTGAGGCTGAGGCTGAGGCTGAGGCAGGCTGAGGCAGACGCTGAGGCAGGCTGATGCTGAGGCAGGCTGAGGCTGAGGCTGAGGCTGATGCAGGCTGAGGCTGAGGCAGGCTGAGGCTGAGGCGAGGCTGAAGGCAGACTGAGGCTGAGGCTGAAGCAGGCTGAGGCTGAGGCTGAGGCAGGATGAGGCTGAGGCAGGCTGAGGCTGAGGCTGAGGCAGGCTGAGGCTGAGGCAGGCTGAGGCTGAGGCTGAGGTGAGGCTGAGGCTGAGGCTGAGGCAGGCTGAGGCTGAGGCTGAAGCAGGCTGATACTGAGGCAGGCTGAGGCTGAGGCAGGCTGAGGCACAGAGGCTGAGGCTGAAGGCAGACTGAGGCTGAGGCTGAAGCAGGCTGAGGCTGAGGCTGAGGCAGGCTGAGGCTGAGGCTGAGGCAGGCTGATACTGAGGCAGGCTGAGGCTGAGGCTGTGACTGCGACTGCCGCTGCCACTGCGACTGTCATCGCGAATGCGACTGCGACTGCGAGAACAGCAGAACTCTACAACTGGATTCTCATCTGAATCTTAAGGGGAATGCGTCCATATATGCTTCTACACATCGCTGTTAGGTTGCTTTGCCGGGATAATTTTTTACACACAGGTTTCCCCGGAGTTAGGTTTTCGCTTGCATTTTTTTCCAAAATGCTGCTCTCGCTGAGGCGCCGGCCTCATTTTCGGGCCCCGCTCGTTCCGAATCGTGCTCCCGCTGCAGCGCTGGCATCATTTCCGCCGGCGCCTGGGCTGCACGCCCGAGCCGGCGCCCGGGCCGGCGCTCGGGCCGCCGGGTCCGGAGCCAGTTCCGGCCGCCCCTGGAAAATGGAGTTCCGAGGCGGCGCCGAAAAAAGGCCATTCTAATACACAATTTTCTTTTGAAAATGCTAAATTTCTGCTTCCGGCGCCCAGGAGGCCTCCTGGGCCGATTCCGACGCCCGGGCCGGCGCCCGAGCCGGCGCCCGAGCCGGCGCCCGGGCCGGACGCCCGCCGTCGCCCGGGCTGGCGCCCGGGCCGGGTCTGGAGCCGGTTCCGGCTGGCGCCGGAAAATCGAGTTCCGAGGCGGAGCCGAAAAAAGGCAATTCCCATACACATTTTTCTGTGAACATCCGGAATTTCTGCTTCCGGCGCCCGGGGGGGGCCTCCTGGGCCGATTCCGACGCCCGGGCTGGCGCCCGAGCCGGCGCCCGGGCCAGACGCCCGAGCCGGCGCCCAGGCCGGCGCCCGGGCCGGGTCCGGGGCCGGGTCCGGCCTGCGCCGGAAAATCGAGTTCCGAGGCGGCGCCGAAAAAATGGTATTCCCATACACATTTTTCTTGTGAAAATGCTGAATTTCTGCTTCTGGCGCCCGGGGAAGAAGCCTCCCGGGCCGATTCTGGCGTGCTTCCGCTCGTTCCGAATCGTGCTCCCGCTGCAGTTCTGGCCTCATTTCCGCGCTTCCGCTCGTTTCGACTCGTGCTCCCGCTGCAGCGCTGGCGTCATTTCCCGTGCCATGCCACGGCATGCAATGCAATGCAATGCTAGGTTGATGCTACGCTTCGCGGTACTCTTCTACGCCATGCCACGCCGTGCTCTACAATGCATCGCGTACCCTTTCGGGATCATTGCCTTGCTCGACATCCGACTGTGCGAGTAGAGAGGGGATCTGCGCCATGGTTAGGGATGGGAGGTAGGGGTAGGATGTCAGATATGACGCGAGCGCACCTAGCTTGTCCTCCTCCCCCTCCTCCTCCTGTCCCTTTCCCCCCCCCCCTTTCCTCCTCCTCCTTTTCCTCCTCCTCCTGCTGCTCCTTTTCCTCCTCCTCCTCCTCCTCCTCCTCCTCCTCCACCTCCGCCTCCTCCTCCTTCTCGTCCTCCTCCTCCTCCTCCTTCTCCTCCTCCTCCTCCTCCTCCTCCTCCTCCTCCTCCTCCTCCCTCTCCCCCTACCTTTCCCCCTCCCTCTCCCCGCCGCTGGTCTCGCGAGGCTCGGCCGCGGGCAGTCGCGGCAGCGTGGCCGCGGCCGATGGGCTGGACTTGCTCGCGCTGCTGCAGGCGCGCGCCCCCCTCCCACCCGTCGCGAACCTGCTGGCGGGGGGACAGTTACAGCTGCAGCCCGGTGGACCCGCAAGGGCGGGTATGCTCTGCGCCGCCGGTCTCCATGCAGTCTATGGGTATACATATATATATATATATACATGTATATATATACATATATATATATATATATATATATCGAGAGAGAGAGGGAAAGAGAGAGAGAGAGAGAGAAGGAGATATACATATATGGATATACGAAGCGGAGGACCATGAGGAAGAGGATGACGATGAGGATGACGATGACCATGCTGACGATGTTGGTGATGATGCTTAGTATCATGATGGTGACGATGAGGATGACGACGATGATGATGCTGCCGATGATGACGATGATGGTGACGATGATGGTGATGGTGATGGTGATGGTGATGATGATGATGATGATGATGATGATGATGGTGGTGATGGTGATGATGATGATGGTGATGATGATGATGATGGTGATGGTGATGATGATGATGATGATGATGATGATGATGATGATGATGATGATGATGCTGATGATGATGATGATGATGCTGAGCATCATCTTGATGATGATGATGGTTGGATGTATGGATGTATGGATGGATGGATGCATGAAGGGATGGATGATGAGGAGGAGTTTAGGGGAAAAAAAGATGAGACAAATGATGAGGTACATCGATCGAACACTTCCCATACATCGATTTCGTAGGCTTGATCGCAGCCGCCTCGGTGCTTTCCTGGCAGAGGGCCGTACAACCCCAGTCCTCACACCCACCCACCATGCACGGCAACCTCCTATCCCTGAGCCACCCTGGCAGTGTATTTCATGGTCGCATTGTGGTTCCTTGGGCGAAAACGTAGGGATAGGAAATTTAGGTGCGCGAGGGATCATGGTGAAAGTAAGGTTATGAGTCAAGGTATGCAGCTCGAGCGAGCCAGCGGGCCCACTCGAACGGTCTCCAGAGGTTCCCTGAGGTCCCCATGAGGGTTCCCCGAGGTCTCTCGGATGCCCAGAACGGGCCCTCAACCTCCGTCTCGAGTCTTGAGTATTGAAAGCTCAGACCATAGGATCGGTGGAAGCTGGGAGCAGTGGGCTGGCCACTTTGTTCTCGCAGCCCTGGGAGGCTCGAGCGCGGCGGAAGGGTGGGCCCGCGCGGGTCTGGGGCGCTCTCCTCCCAGTGGGCGCGCGGATGTGGGCCGGCTGGGCCGGCCATGGTAATTATCATCTTGCCGTGCGCCGGCCTGGCCGGCCAGACCACTGGCAGGCACCCCATTGGGGGCGACGGCTTCGGGCTCCCCGGGGGAGCGTGAGGGTCACCGAGTCTGGGGTTCTGTCGGGCGTGTCCCCCTACAGGGGGATTTTCGGCGACAAACAAAAATACCCCAAAAGGGTCCAAAGATATTCAGAAAATAGTCCCCAGACTATCTTTGGACTATCTTTGGATTATTTACCTAACAGCGTAGACTGATAGGTTTCTAGTTGATTCAAAAGAGCTCACAGATCACTCCACAGGGGGGTCCGGGCAGGCGTTGGGAGTTGCCGGCCGGGCCTGTGCCGGGCTCGTTTTTCACCAACAGTCACACACTTCGTGCTCGTCGACCTCTCAGAACGCCATTCCCAGGCCACATTCTGAATAACCGGATGCAACAGTCAGACACTTCGTGCTCTTCGACTTCCCAGAACTCCATTCCCGGGCCACATTTTGGATGCCCGGAGCCAACTGTAGGCCACTTCGTGCTCTTCGATTTCCCAGAACTCCATTCCCGGGCCACATTTTGGATGCCCGGAGCCAACTGTAGGCCACTTCGTGCTCTTCGAGTTCCCAGAACTCCATTCCCGGGCCACATTTTGAATGCCCGGAGCCAACTGTAGGCCACTTCGTGTCTTCGAGTTCCCAGAACTCCATTCCTGGGCATGATTTTGAATGCCCGGAGCCAACTGTAGGCCACTTCGTGTTCTTCGAGTTCCCAGAACTTCCATTCCCGGGCCACATTTTGAATGCTGAGGCAGGCTGATGCTGAGGCTGAGGCAGGCTGAGGCTGAGGCAGGCTGAGGCTGAGGCCGAGGCTGAAGGCAGACTGAGGCTGAGGCTGAAGCAGGCTGAGGCTGAGGCTGAGGCAGGCTGAGGCTGAGGCTGGCAGGCTGATGCTGAGGCAGGCTGAGGCTGAGGCTGAGGCTGATGCAGGCTGAGGCTGAGGCAGGCTGAGGCTGAGGCCAAGGCTGAAGGCAGACTGAGGCTTTGGCTGAAGCAGGCTGAGGCTGAGGCTGAGGCTGAGGCTGAGGCAGGCTGAGGCTGAGGCTGAGGCAGGCTGATGCTGAGGCAGGCTGAGGCTGAGGCAGGCTGAGGCTGAGGCTGAGGCTGATGCAGGCTGAGGCTGAGGCAGGCTGAGGCGGAGGCCGAGGTTGAAGGCAGACTGAGGCTGAGGCTGAAGCAGGCTGAGGCTGAGGCTGAGGCAGGCTGAGGCTGAGGCTGAGGCTGAGGCTGGCTGATGCTGAGGCAGGCTGAGGCTGAGGCTGAGGCTGATGCAGGCTGAGGCTGAGGCAGGCTGAGGCTGAGGCCGAGGCTGAAGGCAGACTGAGGCTGAGGCTGAAGCAGGCTGAGGCTGAGGCTGAGGCAGGCTGAGGCTGAGGCTGAGGCAGGCTGATGCTGAGGCAGGCTGAGGCTGAGGCTGAGGCTGATGCAGGCTGAGGCTGAGGCAGGCTGAGGCTGAGGCCGAGGCTGAAGGCAGACTGAGGCTGAGGCTGAAGCAGGCTGAGGCTGAGGCTGAGGCAGGCTGAGGCTGAGGCTGAGGCTGAGGCTGAGGCTGAGGCTGCGGCTGTGACTGCGACTGCCGTTGCCACTGCGACTGTCATCGCGAATGCGACTACGACTGCGAGAACAGCAGAATTCTACAACTGGATTCTCATCCGAATCTTAAGGGGAATGCTTCCAGATATGCTCCTACACATCGCTGTTAGGTTGCTTTGCCGGGACAATTTTTGATTATTTTTTTGGGTATTTTTTATTGTTCGTCGAAAATCCCCCCGTAGGGGGACAGGCCCGACTTCAGTCTGGGGGCTCCGCGATCCCCTCCGGGACGCCCCGGGGCCCCGGCTCCGACGCCGCGGGGACGCGTGGCCGAAGCCCGGGGAGGGGCGGCGGGCGGGGGGGTGGGGGAGCCGCGCTGCCAGACCCCCCTCGGGCCCCGAGCGCCCGCGGCTGCGGCAAGAGGGGCGGGGCGCTCGGCGAGCACCTCTGCCTGCCAAGGCAGCCCGAGCCCCAGGTGCGGGCGGGGCGGGGCCGTGCCCGGCGGCCGCCCGCCCGGTGGCCGGCGGCGGCAGAGGCGTGGGCCTGCCGCCGCCGCCGCCGTGTGTGCGGGCTCTGGGGCCGACGATGGCCAGGTCGCCCGGTGGGGCCGCCCGGGTCCCCGACCAGGTCTGTCGGCGGGGCCCGGTGAGAGCCTCCTCCCTGCGCCGACGGGGGCGCCAGGCCCGAGGGGGCGCCCCACCACGCGGTTGGGGCATGGGGCTGCGTGCGCTGGGCCTGGGCTGGGCCTGGGCATGGGGCTGCGTGCGCTGGGCCTGGGCTGGCTCAGTACTCGGTGGGCGAACGGGTCCCAGTCCCGAGCGGGGCGTGCCCGAATGGGGGCTCTTGTTACTGCTTGGCGCTGGTTTCGCCCGTGGATGCAGCGATCATCCGAGGAGACGTTCGCGTTGTGTGACGTGCGTGCGGTCCGGATAAGCATGTGCGTTCTCCCCTATACCATACTGCCGGGGCGCTCTCCACCGCTGGGGGCTCGTTCGGGCAGACGATCGAGCTGGGGCTGTCGGTCTTGGACAGCTGGTGGAGTACGGCGGTTGTGGGGAACAGCAGCCAAAGACGAACGCGCTTACCACATCAAAGACAGGCAGTCTTACTGCGACGCGCGAAAAAATGGCGCGGCAGCGGCGGATGCCATTCAGCACAGACGACATACACATCCACACGTGCACACGCCAATGTCTTTGAGTCGCTGAGATCAAGTTCTCGGTCCGTTGAGCGAACAATCGTGAACAAGGGAGCGAGCGATCCTGAGGACGAAGTTTTGCATCCGCAGACTCAGACTATGGCAGGTCGTCTTGTAAAGCTGACCATTGCCAGGAGGCGATCGGAGGACCGACTACGACCGATGTATTCGAAACTCTAGCCCATTATGGGGCCCTCGGTCTGCGGATACTCGACATGCTTCTGAGTCGCCCTATCGAACCGTGGAAAGGTTGCGGAATTATTTTCGCGGTGATGATTGTGACAATAAGTATCAGATGCTTGTGTTTCGTTATGTTTTGAATGGCTGTGAGCACCAGGGTTTCTGACAATTTCTGAAATGCGGAATCCTGCATCATCAGCAGCAGTGGCAGTCAAGATGTCAGTGGAGCGGTGTTTGCGACCTTTTCTCCTTTGCAGCGCGAGGATGTCCTTGGGCTTTGCAAGCGAGCTCACGCTCGCCTGTTTCGTCGCTATGCCGATAGCGTCATCGAGCGAGTAATCGTGTGGTCGTTGCCGACTGTGGCATTGTGTCAGGGCCGCTGCATGGACGATGCCCAACTGGCTCTGTTTATGCGTGTGTTCGGTCATCCCCTTTGACATTGGTTGGAGTATTTCTCATGGTCTGGGTCGGACGGATGCTCACACATATGTGGGCTGCACGATCAATCGCTGCTCTCGGAGCACGAGATTCGCATTGATTGGTAATATTCTCTTGTCCCGAGTGCCCCAAGTGCCCAATCCTTGGCTCGAGAAGCCCGTCGGCGAATGCTGCTACTGCACGGTCCTGCAGAAGAAATGGCTGACCCTCAGCGGTTGGTATGCTGTTCTTTCTTGTGGCATTTTCTTCAAGACGCTGGAGGTCTGGGTTCGACCCAGATTCGACAGGCCCCACGCCAGATCTGGTTCAGGGGCCCTAACTTCGTCCTCGAGGGGCCTGTTTCGGGCCCAGGGTGGCCATGGTGTACCTGGGATGGGTTCGGG